TATTTTAAGTTTAATTATACCATCTTGATAAGCTACTACTATAAAATTTTTATATCCTTTGTCAGATGGTGGTTTTTATAAATTGTTAAAATCTTTTTTCACAAAGTGTATTAAATAGCAAAGAGTCTAGAATGATCCATTCTGTACATGCTAATTGTAATTCATTCTGTTTGCTTGAGCTATTCAGCTTTATCTTTTCTATAACTTGTTCAAGTGTAGCTTGTTTTTTTTTCTACCTATTATAGTAATTTGGATAATGTGTATAATTCAATATAATTCAATTTATTAAATTTAATGATAAATTAAATAATAATACCTTTTTAGCCAGACTTTGAAGAATTATATCATATTCTTGTATTATATGATAGTTTATTGTTGTTGTTGAATTTGAGTTAGAATGATCATATGTGCGGCTACATTTTTTTGTTTTTCTATCTTCAACTATTTCAACTTGACATATTGCATTAGACTTTACTAAGCTAAAATATTGTCATACTTCAGCTATGAGTTTACATTTTTTCTTTTTTTGGATAAGCCTGTAGTTTTTTGATTATTTGATAATTTAGAAGAAGATCCTATTTTTTTAGTATTATCATTATTATCAGGTTTACTATTAAATTCTAAATCTTCGTTAATAAAATTTTCACTATTCTGAATATTCATCTTTAATGAAAAGAAATTGATTTAACTCTTTTTTTTTAAAGGTTTGTGCGTTTGATACAAATTTCAATTTTAGTATATAATTAAAATTTTAAAACTTGTATTATACAAATTCCAATTTTAGTATGTTATACATACAATGATCATATATTATTGATAATTACTGGATTATATTGGTATTTTAAAGAAATTTTATTTTTAAAACTTGTATTATACTGTATCAAAGTTAAATCCTTTATTTGATTTTTTTTTTGATATTTCACAAAACAGATATGTATCTACGTATATTATTATTTGAAAAAAAAGATCAAAGATAATCTCTATATAATGAATTGATAATTTAAAAATTTTTTATTAATCATCATTATTATCAGGTTCTATATTCCTATTTTTATTGTTTACGTCTAACTACTT